CCGAAGAAGTGGGCTGTAGTCCACGAAAGCTTATGCTCTAATAAATTTGTTAGTCTCTAAGGTGCCACAAGTGCTCCTTGGCATGGTTAATACAGCATCGAGCACACAGCCCTTGCTTTACTTAAAAAAAAATCTCTTTCCTCTTCAATCCCTTTACAAGCAATAGTTCTGAGTTAGGCATCACATGGTACAGGCTCCTTAAGACACCAATGCAGATTTAAGGATAAAACCACCCCTGCAAGGAGACTGGACTGTGCCGATGGCTAAGGCTGCCTGCAATCTGCAAAAAAAAAAAACTCCCCCAAACCAGGATAATTATCTCTGAAGGGAACAAATCCACATGCCCACGTGACTGCCTCCCTTGGGCACTCCAGAGGGTTAAACAGTCCAGCCAAGCTGGGTGGATGGTTTGATATTATTAAAAAAAAAAGACCCCCCTCCCACCCCACACACACACACTTTGACCCCCCTCCCACCCAAATGACCCCCACGCTGACCCCCTTGTGCAGGGAGTAGCCTGCCCTGTTGCCTAGATCGGCCTAAAGGGAAGACAAGACCCTGCCCAGAACCCCCTCGCCCTCCCGATCAGCTCACCTGTGCCAGCCGGTGCGGTGCCACGGTCCCGCGGCTCTCCCATGGCAGGGGGCGTCTTCTCGCTGCCACCCACCCGCTCCCGGACCCTCACTTGGGCAGCCGCCCACCGGGCAGCCCTTCCGCGCCGCTCCGCATCGCTGCAGCGCAGTGCCCGGCCTCCGCTGCCTTTGGGGGGGCTTGGACCTGCGCCTTCCCGGGCAGTGAAAAACCAGGGGGGTCTTTTCCCGTCCCGGGGCTCAGATCCAGGGATGATGGGGGGGGGGACTGGGGAAACCACTCATTCAATTGCGGGGCAAAGGGGGTGCCCGGGCTTTCCCTGGCTTTCAGGCTGGCGCTAGGATTGCCACACGCTGCCAGGGAAGCGGGGCGCAAGGGCCAGGGGTGACTGGGAGGTGGTTGGTTTTTTCCCCCCCTCTCTGATCCGGATGCCCGGTCTCCTCTTCCATCACCTGCCCTGGGCAGGCGAAGCTACATCGCTAAGCAAAGGGAAACATGTCCGACGCGGGGAGGTTGCCCACACCATCCGCCAGCCCCAGGAAGTAAAACGGAGCTGGGGAGGAAAAGGAGGCAGGAGAAGGAAGGGGAAAAAAAAAGGGAGAGAGAGAAAGTGAAAACTGAACCGGAAAGCTAACGCGTTATACTTCCCGCAAGGTCACCGCGCAATCCGCCCAGGAGCTGCGCTTGCAAACCAGCAAGGGGGGGAGTTGATTCGCCTTAGTGCCACGAAGCCTTTAGTTTATCCCCGTGGCCACCATCTATGCTGAGGAGTGGAGGGATTGGGGTTTCCCCCCCTCTCCCCCCACGCAGGAGCAGGGAGCCAACCCGTTGGCTGAGCTTAAAAAACCATGCGCCACAAAAGTTGATCCTCAGAAAGAGGTGTTACCGTGTGAACGGGGTTTTCGTTGTCGCCGGCTTTGAATACACACTGGAATCCGCACTTCGCCTTCCCAGGCAGCCTGGAGGGGATTGGGAAGGAAGAGAGAGAGCTGGCACGTTTCAGGAAAAGCCTGCCTCGTTAGAAGGAATGGTGCATCCAGCTCTGTAAACCCACCCAGCCCGTGGCGTGGGTGAGCACAGTAAATGAATAACATTAATCCGAAGTCTAGAGTCTCCATCTAAATGAAAGTCTTCGGCCTGCGGGTCAGGATTAACATTTAAAGAGAATAGGAGAGTTTAAAGGGGAAAGGCAGGAAACATAACTATTAAAAAGGTGTATTTTGAAAATCAATGCCGTACATTTGGTCAAGGTATCATAGGGAATCACTTAATTTTACATGTCCCTGTTGAAAACATGCATATATTTAGGCTTGAAAAGATTAGATTTTTATAAATGTCAGTAAACATGGATTTCAGTGCACACCCACAAACCAAACAAAATATATTTCCACTGATAATCATTGACATTACAAATTGGCAAAGTAAGAAAACTGCTGTTTGAGAATTTACTAGACTTTTGAATTAGGCTTGTTACAAATGGTCTAGTGAATGGATACCAAAACCAGGTGTGATTTATTGATTTAAGCATATTTACTGTGTATATTTTGCCATGTGATGTTGACACCTTGTGCTTGAACAGTTTATAAAGCTTTAACTTTTTTGAATCTCGGCGTCTACTGTAATTAAATAATTGTTCGACCCCTCACAACTTCCTGCAAGGGTGAACATTTAAATAGATCAAAATTGAAAAAAAAAATACTTAAAAATAAACATTGATATTATTGGACTGAATTATAAAAAAATAAAAATCAAATTCTGCCAGCCCTACATATACTGCTATTAAAAGTTAGGATCAAAGGCCCGGATCCTCAAAGGTCTATAGATGCCTACCTCTCTTGAAATCAATGGAAGTTATTACCTTTGAAGATCTGGGCCAAATCTAAGACTTGAAGTAGGCTGAAATCAAGCATACAATGGCCCACAATTATTTTTTTCCCTGTTCAAAAGAAAATTATCATCAATCCCTCGCCCCCGCTTTCAGCTGCCCTTCTTCCAGGGAAGTATATTTAAATGAAGAAATACAGATAAATAACATCATTCACCTCTATCAAGCCAAATTCTGTCCTAGTAAGACTGCTGAGTGAAAATGAAAAACAGTAGATAAATAAGACATGTATTTCCCTCTACCACCAAGAGCCGGCTTGTATCAGTCCATGTTGGAGTTGCGTGGTTATTTTTGTAGCTGCTTATCTTATAAAAAGAGAGTGGAGTGAAGTAGGGCCTAGTATCAGAGGGGTAGCTGTGTTAATCTGGATCTGTAAAAAGCGACAGAGTCCTGTGGCACCTTATAGACTAACAGACGTTTTAGAGCATAAGCTTTCGTGGGTGAATACTCACTTCATCCAGAGGCAGGTATAAATATGCAGGCAAGAATCAGTCTAGAGATAACGAGGTTAATTCAATCAGGGAGGATGGTTTGGCTCTGACCCCCACTTTCTCCACCCCTTTACATTTAATTAGCAGATTTCATTGCTCCTCTGTGCCTGGAATGGGCCTGGCAAAATACACTGGGCAGGGAGGTCTTGCTTTACTGAGCCGCTCATGGTACCTGTGGACGCCTATCTTGTGTTTGCTCCAGTGAATAACTATAGTTGGGGTAAGGTTCATTATTATTTACTGAAATGCTATCTATCTATCTGGGGAGTACATTTGAAGACTGAGGTAACAGAGCCCCTTATAGAGGTTGCAATAGATAGCCTATTCTAGACAGTACTGATATAGGGCTTGTGGTACCTGTAATGGGCTTCATCATCATTCACCACATTATTATTGCCTGGAATCTTCAACTCATGACCTCTTTGCACTGGGCACCATACAAACATGTAGTAAACACCATCCTCATTGATTTGAGTTACAGCAGTGTGTAGAGGCCCCAGCTGAGAGCAGGGCCCTATAGGTGCTATACACAGTCATAGTAAGAGAGTCCCTGCCCCCAAAGAGCTAACAAGAATAGACAAGACAGACAAAGAGTGGGAGAGGAAATGGGGGCACCGACAGATGAAATGACTTGCCTGAGATCACACACAGGTCAATGGCAGAGCCAAAGACGCAAGAGAGTACAAATAATTCTTTCATCTAAGGATCTCAAAGCAGCTTACAATTAATTAAACTGCATGGCCTCTGAGAGATAGGTAAGTGTTATATTAGCCCCATATCATTACAGAGGGCAAAACTCAGGCACACGGGGGCTAAGTGACTTGCCTCGGGTCACATGTTGAGTCCATAGCAGAGTTGGGAGTATGACGGTGGAGTTCTGACTTCTAGGACATCGCTTTCTCCACTGAACAACATAGCTCAGGCTTATCAGAGCCTTTCTAGACCCCATTGCCTTACCAGAAATCTACCCATTGGCATTCATGGCCCTAAATCCACCAAGTAAGATTAATTTTAGAAATTAATTTTAGAAATCTTTCCAGATCCTAGATGGCTTGGGGGTAAAAATAGTTTTCCAAGTTCCACTGTTCTCATGCCAGGGTCAGATGATTTAGAAAAACCTTCTCCAGGCCAGTGTTCCAACCTGCCCCTCAAGGACATATAAAGTACAGTCCATGTCTGTGGACCCTGCCACTGGGACACATCAAAAGGGCCATGAACTTCCCTGCTTTTATTATAAAATGTAGAATCATAGAATCATAGAATATCAGGGTTGGAAGGGACCTCAGGAAGTCATCTAGTCCAACCCCCTGCTCAAAGCAGGACCAATCCCCAATTAAATCATCCCAGCCAGGGCTTTGTCAAGCCTGACCTCAAAAACCTCTAAGGAAGGAGATTCCACCACCTCCCTAGGTAACCCATTCCAGTGCTTCACCACCCTCCTAGTGAAAAAGTTTTTCCTAATATCCAACTTAAACCTCCCCCACTGCAACTTGAGACCATTCAAACTTGAGAACAAAATTGCGAGTCTATGTGTTTCTTTCGCAAGCTGTAAAGTGCTCAGGCATTACAGCAGGGAGTGTGCTAAAAACACAGGTCGTACTAGAATCAATTCTGGATTTCTAATGCCAGCTTCTGTTCTCAGTGCTCTGTTCCAATCTCTCTCGGTGAGAAGGGCATTAGCAATTCCTCTAGCTTATTGTTTTCTATGAGCTACATAGAATTTTATGTGGAGATGGCACCCTAATTAGAGCGACTGTCGCTTTTCTAAATGTTTGTTCGTGCCCTCTTGTAGGTGCATTTGTGCGACTTGAAATAATAGAAGCGGCTATCACCTAACTTTGATGAGGTCCTTATTACTGGCAGTACTATATTTTTTACTTCCCTGAAACAATGACTCATCTTAGGTTTTCGTGTTAAGTACAGCGAGGAAACCTAAAATAAAGAAGTCGTCATTTTTAGACCAAGTTCCTCTTTTGTTTAGTCAGAAAAACTGAATGACAGAATCAGACACTTTCAGCCATTCTGGAAAAAAAATAAGGTTATGTTAAAATTTTTGAACTGGAGAGGAAAAGGGGGATATCTTGAAATCTGAAATTGACTTTGTTTAAAGGTGATAAGCAAGGATAAATAATGGGATGGCAATAGTATTGTGGTAGTATACAGTCATGGACCGGCATCCCATTGCTCTAGCTGCTGTGCAAACACAGAAGAAAAATTTAGTCCCTGTCCCAAAAAACTCACTAATATCAGGCTTGGTCCTTGGACCTAAAATTTAGGTCAATATGTTAGTTAATTAGTGTGAAAAATCTCCCTCCCTCAATGGCATAGCTACACTGACCCACCCCCTAGTTTAAAAGCAGTGTGACGGTACCTCCCATAAGGCTTTATGGGAATATGACATAACTGGAATATGTTTTGTGCTGCCTGTGCCATGTAACATATCTCCGTAAAGGTTATGGTCTACTATATCTATTCATCCTATTTGTACATATAGATCATTTTCTACTTGAGGTTAAGAATATGGGCTGTATGCTTGCTTGGTTTCTAAGTAAGCTTTGGGAGGCATTTGGTCAGCTTCTTTAGGAAGGAATTCGCCAGGTTAAGTACCCGATCAGGAAACACTTGGAGAACAATGCATCTAGGAATGCTCCAATCCACGTAAGAAGTCTTCCTGGAGACATGCAAGATGCCATGTGGACAATGGCTTCGGCCTGTAAACACTGAGTCATGCAGGGACATGTGACTTGCCCAGGTAACTCCAGAACTCCATCTTGGAGCTGGACTTTGCATAGGAGGGAGGAGGGGGGTCTCCACCCACAAGAGAGAGTCTATTTAAACCCATGGGAGACCCCTCCATTTGGTCTTCAGCTGGCTAAGGAAGGAGACTCTCCACCCCCACAGGATACTTGAAGGGAACTGGAACAAACGACAGTAACTACAGGGGGTGTGAGTGATTGCTGGACCCAGGCTAAAAGGAGATAAGCCTGTAAAAGGGAGCATTCTGGAACTGGTGAGGAACTTATATGTATTCAGTTTGATTAGACATAGATTTGCACATTTTATTTTATTTTGCTTGGTGACTTACTTTGTTCTGTCTGTTACTACGTGGACTCACTTAAATCCTACTTTCTGTATTTAATAAAATCACTTTTTACTTAGTAATTAACTCAGAGTATGTATTAATACCTGCAGGAGCAAACAACTGTGCATATCTCTCTATCAGTGTTATATAGGGGGAACAATTTATGAGTTTACCCTGTATAAGCTTTATACAGAGTAAAACAGATTTATTTGGGTTTAGACCCCATTGGGAGTAGGGCATCTGAGTGTTAAAGACAGGAACACTTCTGCTAGCTGCTTTCAGATAAACCTGCAGCTTTGGGGCAAGCAATTCAG